GTTCTCCGCCAGCGCGGGGCGGAGCGCTGCGCCCCGGAGCCGCCCAAATGCCGCCGCACTCACCACAGCCGGTGCTGGTCGCGCCCTGCCTTCCTGTGTCCGCGCTCAACGGTCCCCGCTCGTTAGTGGGAAACCGCGGCCCCCTCGGGTTCCGCCGGCCCTCGGGTTCCGCCGCCCTCGAGTTCCGCCGCCCCTCGGGTTCCGCCGGCCCTCGGGTTCCGCCGCCCTCGGGTTCCGTCGCCCTCAGGTTCCGCAGCTCCTTCCAGCTTCTATCAGGACGAGGCAGGATGGGTGGATTGGGAAGGGGCCCCAAGACCTTCTGTGAGTCAAGGACAGAGGCCAAGTCACCTCCCACCCTTAGAGGGCGTCCCTGAGGGCTTCTTCTGCTGGGTCACCTCTGACACCGGAGAAAAGGGTGCCAACAGACACACATTCCCCTCCCAACCCTGGAGCGGTCCCTTGGGCATCATCCCTGGGAACTGACGGACCGGCTCGCGTGGTCTACTCGTGCGAGAGATAAGGCCAAGTTGATGTCCAGACATGCACGCTCTCCCTTTTCTGGCCTTTTGTTCAGTGAGTGAGGTTCCCAAGGACCAGAAAATTAATTCATAGCAGGCGTTTGGAATTGGCCTGGGTCTCCAGCTCTGCCTGGGATCCTTGGAGAACAGACTTCTTCACTGCCAAGGGCAGCAGCTTGTGTGTTGTTCATACCTGACACACTGCCACATGTAAAACTGGCTACTTAACTGAGATAAGCCACATATTGAAAGTTCTGATCTCCAGTTGCCTATCCATAATGCCACGTCCCCTTGAGGGCATTGGAGACATGTGCTGATGACATCCAACAGCCCTAGTGTTGGAAGACTCTTAATATCTGTAGAATTCTCCCAATATAATGATGGACCAGGCAGAAATCCAGTAGCTTTCCATTAGCTCAGAACCAATTCTGGGGTAGTGTTCTCTCAGCTCAGAATCCGTCATTGAGGATGTTAGGAGGAAACAGCCTCTGTCTAGAAGTAGCATGAGAGGAAGGGAGCTTGGAATCAGTCAAGAAGAGAGAGTGTTTGTATTCCCACACAGTTGTCCCTACTGTGAAGAAGGTGAGAGAACACGAGTCTAAACCAGGAGGAAGAATGGAGGTCTAAGGTGGTCCGGGTCTTCATTTTTCACTCACTGACAAGATAGACACATACTGCTGTAGATGGTGTTCTCATGCCTACACACATTCCTGCAACTTCCTCCCCATCACATGCATCAGCCACATGAAGCCAGAGAAGTATAGGTGGCATGCTGAACTTCTATCGTTTGCTTGGAAAGAGGGCACGGTGTGGCTTTCACCTCTCAGTCACTTCTCTTTGCCTTTGCCACGCCCCTGATGCTGCTTCGCTTACCTAAGCCAGGCATAGAATTCATTGCAGAGGTGAGATACGGAGTGGCTGGGGATGAGGTCAATGGTAAGTCAACTACAGACGCAGGACCAAAAGGCAGGAAGAAAGGAAGTCTGAGAGAATACATAAACCAAAGATCCAACACAGCCCCTTCCACCACTGATTCTCAGCTCTACTGGTGGTAGCTCTGTGGGACCATTGAAGTGTGGTGTGCACTCTACCTCCTTACCCAGCACCCAGACCTCCGATTTTGCTCAGGGGTCCCCTGCTCACCTCCCAGCCCTGTCTGCCTGTGATTACCATGGCAGGGGACTAGACAACTCTGTTCCCAGCACCCAGAGGTAGTTTACATCAGTATACAGTCATTATAGTAGCCTCTCCTCCATCACCAGAGATTGGATTAGGAGTTAGTTGTGTAGCTCACGTAGACCCAGCAGTCTTAAGGGAAAGTCAGCTGAGAGATATCTAGGAAATGTTTCCTTCTCCTTAAAAAGGGGGACTCAAGAACAAGATGGGATGAACCTGAAAACATCATGCTGGTGAAAGAAGCAGGTCACAAAAGAGCACTTATCATATGATTCCACTTATATGAAACGTCCAGAAC